TTTGATGTCAAGCAATGACTTTTGGAGCGGTTCGATTCCGGTCCCGGACAGTTGTTTTTTTCTCTTTTCCTCCTCCCGACTGACCAACAGTTCCATAAATTATAGGCCTAATTTGTAGAGTTGCTTTGACTTTGAAGTAGTTATTGTTTATTTTTAAAAATGTATTAGATCTAGTGATTAAACATGCAGGAGGGGGGGGGGGGGGGTTGGTCGATCTAAATTTAGATATCTAGATCTAGAACTAGATATTATCTAGTCCTCCTGCGTCTTTACGGCAATTTTCGTGCGGTCTTCCATCATGTCCAGGTAGGCCTAATAGATCTAAGATCTAGATCTAATCTAGAATATAGAATCTAGAAAATCCGAAATGTTACCGAAAACACGTCGTTCCATGTGGGTATCCCAAGAAGTGATGACATCACATTACTAAAATTAGCAGCCAATCAGAAAGATGCGTCATTTCTAAGTTTAACGGCATGTGGTCAAGCCCCACTGAAACCCCCCGGCCCTGCCCCTACTCTTGACTCTTGACTTTAACAAACGAAACTGCAAAATCGCCAATGAACCTGCTGTGCCAGAGACACAACACTACAATCTCTAGATTTATATTATAATCTAGAGGAAGAGGCTAGCCGTACCTAATGACGGCTAGACTGGCAGTCTAGCCGTACTTAAGTACGGCTAGACTCACAGTCTAGCTAGCTGTACTTTATTCTTAAGATAATATGATGTGGCTAGACTGACCATTTACAAAAAATAGGCCCTACTGAATTGTAAATATACATTTTTAGTGTGCAGTACCTAAAGTATTTGTATTTGAGACGAAACCAGGTGCCTTAATGACAGTGCATGTATTTTAAACCTCCTGTTTTCTATAATTAATGTTAATAGGGCCTAAGATAAGTACGGCTAGACTGGCAGTCTAGCCATACTTAAGTACGGGTAGACAGCCAGACTAGCCGTACTTAAGGACGGCTAGACTGTCAGGCTAGCCGTACTTAATATTGATGGCTGAATTGTAAATGAAATTTTTAGTTTGCAATGCCAAAAGTATTTGTATTTCAGACAAAACCAAAAGGTGCCTTACTGACTTGCATTATTTGAACCTGAATAATTACTAGATCTAGATCTAATGAGACCTGTGTACTTAACAGGCTTGAGTCGATTGGGCCAAACCTAGATCTAAGTACGGCTAGACTGGCAGTCTAGCCGTACTTAAGTACGCCTAGCCACTTCGTAGTCTAGACTAATCTATCTATCTAGATTCTAGATATCTAGAGTAATCGTACAGGGTCGAGCAGCAGGGTTTTTTTTTTTTGAGTGGTTATCCGTACAATTGTGCGAACAACTCTGTCTGTTATCCGTATAATATTGTACCATGCAATTGTGCGAACAACTCTGTCTAGTTATCCGTACAACGTTGTACGCACAATTGTACGAAGTGCTGCAGGTATCTGTACAATAGTAGGCCTGTATGCCCACAGGCCACCTCTATTCTCACCACGGGTGAGAATAGCACAGGCGAGTCTTTTGGCTATTGTCACCCGGTGGGCGTTCACCGTTATAGCCTAGGCCAACCAGTGAAGCGTTCACCCTGAACCACAGAATTCTACACTGTGATAGCAGAATTATAGAATTCTGTGCTGTGAACAAACGTTCTAGATCTAGATCTAATCTAGATCTATTACTACTGTTAGTGTAAAACTAAAGGCCACCTCTATTCTCACCTGGGGTGAGAATAGTGCAGGCGAGTCTTTTGGCTATTCTCACCCTGTGCGCGTTCACCGTTATAGCCTAGATCTAGGCCAACAAATTTTGCGTTCACCTTAAACCACACAATTTTACTCTGTGATAACAGAAAAATTGTAGAATTCTGTGCCGTGAACAAACGTTCCATTACAACTGTAGCCTACTTAAAGTGTACAATTTTGTCTGTGGGCACTGGAGAGAGAGAAAGAGAGAGAGAGAGGAGTAGCGCGAGAACTTCCGGTCAAAACACAATGGCGACCCGCGTAGTTCGGCTCGATTCGAAAAGTGCAATAGCCATAGCATCTTTGAAGACAATCAAATTAGCTTACTTTTGTGCTATAACATAATTTTTTCTTGGCTTTTATCAATTTGATCATCCACACCGATAGACAGTATTCCAAAATGAGGAAAAACAGGTCTTGTTTCACACCGGGTGAGAATAGCCTACGCTGGCAAGTCTCACCCGGGGTGAGAGGTAGATCGTATTTTTATTCTCACCCCGGGTGAGAATAGCCACTTCCATGCCCACAGGCCTACTACCTGCTCTGTCTTAGTTGATCTAAAAATCTAGATCTAGACCTAGAGATTTTTAATCAGTGTTTCCAATATTCCACCAGCTGAAATTAAATTTTTTTTCGTGTGACCTCATCTGCCGATCTGATGCCAGCCGCCTCATGCCTCATGTAAAAAAAAAGCAACTAGAGATCTAAGTCTAGATCTAGACTCTAGATAGATAGATCTAGAAATGTGTGTTGCATTGAAATCGTGCTGTAAAAATATTTAAGCTTAATTATATTATCTACCTCCTTCTGTTGATAGTTCTGATGGCCGAAATGGACAGCGTGTCTGCGTTAGAAGAAGTATTATATTTTGAGTGTGGGTTCGAATCCCGGTCCAGGAAGTTTTTTTGTGTTTTGTTTTGTTTTTTTCTTCTTCTCTCTCCTCCGCCGACTGACCAACAATTTTTTTCCCATATTGTATGTTTTGACTTCAAAGATTTCCACTCATGGTTTTGTGTAAAAACAAAGAAACATAGATCTCTATAGATCTAGATCTAGTCATAATTAAATTATAGATCTACTTTTATATTTTAATAGAAGTATAGATCTAGCCTACTTTTCCATTTAGGCCTGGTTAAAGTTATTACATTGATGCTCAACCCAGGGGAGAACCAACTGGATGACTAGATTTAGTGATCTAGGCTTATTTTTACCAACAGCCTCCAAAATTCGAATAATTGTACGAATAACTTTGGGCACTGGAGTACAAAAAGATCGTTTAAAACTTTGTATTTAAATCTAGACTAGATCTAGATCTAGATCCAGCCCCCAAAGAGTGGCACACAAACCTAAAGCAACCTCCCTTACTTTCGACACTTTCGTTGAAACAACAGTTACGGCGATATTTTGCTAAAAATAGTCCTTAAGACAGCTTTTTCTTCACCAATTGAGCAAAACAGCGTGAAGCTCTTCCCCCCGGAAGAGTTAACATTGGTTGTGGATGAAGGAGCCTGTAGCCTAGACTCTACGTTTTGTTAAACTCTGAAAGCTGTTGAGAGAAATGAGGCCCTCAAGGATGAAAGAAAATTTGCAGTTCAGTCTCGCCGTTTTTGTCCCTGTAATATAAAATGCGTAGTTTCTCATCCTTTGGGCACGTTAAATAATACAATGCCAATGGTTATATGATACAAAGAATCAAGAATTTGTGCTTAATTTAACGAAGTGACTATTTCTCCGAACGCTCAGGAAAATAAAGTTGAACCCTATTTCTCCGAACGGTTTCTGATCTCGACATTTTTTGGCTATTTGCGAGATTTAGGCGTCATCCTTTCATTCTGCCATTCTGCGAGGACTGGGAGGAAGCATTTTTTACACGGAATTCAATTTCTAGAGCTAGAGATTTAAAAATGTCGGAATATTTAGATACTTCAGTTATGGTTGGAACGTTCTCGGACTATACATCATTTGAAAATACATTCAAAAAGGGTACTTTGAGAAAACAAGACTGCTCATCCTTTGCAGTAACCTATTTTGCATTTAGTCACCCAGCAAAAACTAAAATCTTTCATGTAAAAAAACCCCCCGTTCACACCTTACACACACACACACACACACACACACACACACAACACACTCTCACACACACACACACACACACACACACACACACACACACACACACACACACACACACATGCACACTTACACACACACACACACACTCACACACACGGGCCACTCCATTCGCTTCAACAAATCTCGAGAACGGAAACCGTTCGGAGAAATAAAGTTTTAAGTTTATTTTCCCGAACGTTCGGAGAAATAGAGCCGACCTAATTTAAATAATAGTAGTAGAGTCAGATAGAGCATAATATAGCTTCGTCAGACACCAGTGTAGTAGTCAAATACCGGCGTGTAATACAGTCAGATACCAGTGTGGTAGAGTCAGATACCAGTGTAGTTGAGTGAGCCAGATAGTAGAGTCAGATACCAATGTAGTAGAGTGGGTCAGATATACTCATTAAAATTCTATAAATGGTGAAAACCACTTTAAACACACTATCATTGTGTCCAAGTCTTGATAACAAGCATTAAAAATCATGTTCTTAAGCTTCCAAAGAAACAAATGTGATAATAAAATTGAAAATGACCGAATGTCAAAATACTCCCCGAATCCAAGAGGAAAAAAAATGTGACTGAACACGTAAATAAATCTGTCGTCATTTTCACTCCCATAGAGCCTCTATTTGAAAAAACTGAAACAGTACATTCCTGGTGTCATCCAATGACAGGGCTTCCTGTAACAAGTTTCGGTTTATCTCTTGGGCAAGGCAGATAGGAGATATAAAGCTTCAAAGTCGACATACCTATTTTCGTCCTAATTTTGACTGAACCGGTAATTTTGCTCTAGTTTTGTTGGATATTTACGAGAGTTTGGCATCATCTTTCATTCTGCCATTCTGCAAGGACTGGGAAGGAGCTTTTTTTTGCTTCGAATTCAATTTCTAGATCTAGATTCTAGAACTAGAAATTTTTATTTTTCTGAATATTGAGATGGGTGAGATTGGCCTACTTCAATTGTAGTTGGGGCAACGTTCCCGGACTATACATTGTACTTCATTTGAAAATGCCTTCAAAAGGTACTGCGAGAAAACAAGACTGCTCGACTTTGGCAGTAACCTATTTTGCATTTAGTCACCCCTAAAGTAAAAACTAAATCACCAAAAAAAATTTGTTATTTTTATTTTGCAGAACATGTCCTACAACAATTCGGGCTATGGCTATGGCTCAGGAAGTGGTCAGTTTACACCTGCCTCTGGGTATGCAGCCATGCAAGGTGCTGGAGCCAGTAAGACTTTTGTCCCTGGCAGAACACTGAACTATCACGTTGGCAATGTTGGAAAGAGACGTGCACGAACAGAGGAAGAGTGAGTATTTGGTTGACTTTCATGGTAGATTCTAAAGCTTCTGCTTTTCCGCCAGCAAATGTGACTTGATTGTTTCTAACAGAAAGAAGAAAAGTCAGGCATATTTTGTTTGCTTTTAAAAGAATCACAATTTCCGAAATTGGGATGCCCAAATGAATTGAATTAGAATTTTGTTTGCCTACTTTTACTCTTTATCACTGGGTGCTACTATGTGTGAGGCAACATGGGTGAAATCAAGCACTTGTCAAAATAATGTATTCAAGGAAACCAGCTTTTTTCTGGCCATTGAGCATATTTTGTTTTTGAATTTTCTTTTTTAGCTCAACTCCTTTCTTATGTCCATTTAAAAACATATTTCTGTGTGTGGATTTTACTGAAAAAGTTTATCAAAAGCACAATAAAATGTAACATGCGGTTTCAAAGGGGAAGTCACCAAACTTTGGCAGCCATTTTCTCGCTAATTTTTCCTCTGACACCAGGTAACTCCCACCTCCTTCTATAGCAAATATCTTGGTTGGGTTGGTTTTTTTTGGCCAAATGCAAGACAAATGAACAAGCTTTAAAATGATAGTAATAGCTCCATAATGCCCTCAAATTGATGAGCACCTGATTCCACTGGGTTGTAACACATAATCTGCTCTTAATGTTGGTGTTACTATTGTCAGTTTAATTATTATCTATTTTTGTAACAATGGATGTGGCTATTATTATCGTGCCAGCTTGATGTAAATTAAAACTCAGTTTCTTTCTGTATCCTGCCCACAATTTCAACTTGCCTTTTATACTAAATGAAAATGAAAAGTGAAGCATTTGGGAAGTTGGAGGATGCCACCGATTCAATTTTTGTCACCATCTTGTGTTTTCCTTGAACTGCATGACTTCTGTCCTGTAGATCTGCTTGTCTTTTTATTCTAACAAAGCTCTTAATGTAGATTACCATATGTAATGTGTGTTTACTCTGATAAGGTACTTCAATGATGACGATGATGAAGAGGAACAGCCAAAAACAAAAGAGCCTTACCAGCCAGCGCCGGACAGCCCTGGGGCTGCCAGTGACGAGAGTGAAGATCCTTTGGATGCCTTCATGTCAGGCATAGAGGTAACAGTGACAAGTGTGATTATTTATTTTCCTTTCACATTTATGCAAATATTGTCAATTGCTCTTGGCTGTCTGCTGTAACTTCACTCACACAAAGACTTTATATGCTAGAAATATGTTTTTCATTGATAAGTTTAAAATGTGAATACAGTCAAACCTGCTGTAACGGAAACCTGTCTAGGACAGAAACCTGCCATTATGGAATCTCCTCCCTTTACTTTGATAGATTCTTTATAATACATCTGTTTAAAATGGAAATCTTCTTGGCACAGAAATAGACAAAAGAAATCCTTTCCTTTAAAAAAGCATGACCTGTTTAAGATGGAAAATGCTTTGCCCTCTCAACCCTGATTTGAAACCTCACCCACAAGTTTTGTTCCTCCTTCTCTGACCTTTACACTATGCCATCTGTTGATTAAGGGTGGTAGGGGTGTGATTTGGAGGTAACTGTTACCCCACCCATGTGAACCCTGTGGGGTTCAGATGGTCAGGATGGTGTTGGCGGTGGAATATCACTGCTGCTTGTGTTTCAACTGCTCAAGTGGCGATTCAGATCATAAACTTTCCTGTGGGGCCCGAGATGTTAAATTTGGCCTCTGTCTGCCACCTTGATCATAGGGCCAGTCGAGGAAAGTGTTCTATGAATCATTGTTACGTTGGTTGATTGTGCTTATTACATTATGAAGTATGGCTTAGAGTGGAAACCTAGGAGACTTTCAATCATTTATATTTTTATCGGGTCAGTGATTTTAATGAGATGCAAGCACTGATGGCAATAGATTAGTAAGACTGATACATGCTATTATCAGAGCGTCTAGAATAACACTTTAGAAGGGTGAAGTTTTGACTTCCTCTTGCTGATCTTACCCTTGATCTCACCGTGTACAGCTAGCCCTCTGGACTCTTTCCCCCTAAATTCCCTTTTCCAGACAGAAAATGTCCAACACAACATTTTTTCTTGCTCCTTGTGATTCCATCTTGGACAGGTTCAATTATAATACATAAAATTATGGAAATGTACAAAAAAATATATTTTCAGCTTTTTCTTGGTGGCTTTATCTTTTTCTATCCATTTGTTAAATTATTTTTTTAGCCTTTCTTTTTCTCATAGATCTTCATTTACTGAAGTCTTTTTGTCAGATCAACCTGTTGTGAAGTTGATTGGGATTTTTTGTATTGTGTGAAATTTATAAGTTGGTAAATAATTACTTTTTTTTTAGCGTAAAGCATGCTGGTATTTCATAGCAAGCTGTAAGGCATGAATCTTGTGCCAGATGATAATATTGACTGCTCACTAGAAAAATGGGCAGTTTGCTTTGATTACTTGATCATGTATGCGAGGCACATTTGCACTTTGTCAAAAAATATGTTTTCAGAAAGAGATTGTTGCAGACACAAAGGAACGCATTAGCACTGAAGAAGAAAAACTGAAGAAGTAAGTAGTTTTATGATGTAAAAATGCAATGATTTTATTTGAAAAGCGTCATATTTTAAATTAATTTGCTCTGTTGATGGTGTGATATTTGTTCTCAATTTTTCTTGTGGAGATGTGGTTTTTAATTCCCGTGTTTCTGACGAGTACATCTCTCTGTGTGAAGACTTGAGATGAATACTATCAGAATAAAAACTTTTAATTGCAAAATGTAACTCGATTTTGGTAAACTGTTACAGCATGAGGTACAGAGGTTTTGAGCACCCTGCGTTAGACAAGGAAAATATACATTTTTCTAGAAAATACCAGTTAACCATGAGTTTTATGTTCTTGCAAAGTGACTATACAATGAAAATTAATTCCCTTTTAGGCTCTTGTGTTGTGTACACACCTGTTTGAGAGTAACATAGACTCAGATTCCTTTTGCTGACTACCTGTTTTATTTTTTCCAGAGGAACCAGAGATGACATTGACAAAGAAGATGTACAAGAATCTTACTTTCGGTACATGGAAGAGAACCCTACTGCTGGCCTGATTAATGATGAAGAGGAGTTGGTGGATTATGACTGTGATGGAAATCCTATTATTGAAAGGAAGAAGGTATTCAGTTTCATTGTGGATGGTTTAAATTTTTAGTCTAAGACGATGAAATAAAAGCTTGAAGAGACTACACTGAAAATTGACTTCTAGGGTACATTTTGAACTCTAAAGCATATTGAAAAGGAAAACATTGTAATGACTTGTGGGACGTAATGTCATGAATACACAAAGTTATTCAAATTTTGTTTGCTTATAATATGAAGATTATATCTGAATCTATTGAAGATACTACTTGTATTTGAGTCTCTTTAAATGTTTGTTAGAGCATATTTGACTTCAGTATTTTTATATTTTTGTGTTCAAGTCTAAATGAGTAAATGTTTATCTGGTTAGGTCATCATGCTATTTTGACTCCTCTTTCTTTATTCTCCAAACTGTGTTATATTTCAAGGTCATTGATCCGCTGCCAGCCATTGATCACTCAGAGATAGATTATCAACCATTTGAGAGGAACTTCTACACTCCCCACGAGGAAATAGATGCTCTCACCAGTCAGCAAGTCCATGAACTGAGACTGAAATTAGGTATCAAGGTAAATGATGGAATGTATTTCTTGTCTGTTTAAAGACCTTATAGTTTTAATAATAATAATAACAATTGCATTTATATAGCACACAATCATGCTCTACAGCATGCTCTATATGTTTTACAACTATTATTACCCCAGCAGACCCTCAAAGGACACTTGGATACATTTTTAGCTTCACGAGAAGAGAAGAAAATTAATGTGAAGTGCCTTTCCGAAGGACACAACATTAGGCCCCTAATGGAATCAGACTCAAGATCTTACGGTTGCAAGTCCTAGAACCTAACCACAAGGCCACCGACATATACAGTCGAACCTGTGTAAGACGGAATCGCAAGGGAGCCCGAAAAAAATTCCGTCTTAGACAGGGGAACTTAAGGGGAGATGGAAGGAGGCCCAGTGGGATCAAGGATCGCTTGTCCGATCGGCAAGCAGTGGTCAAAACTTCACACCTCTCAACTACTATCCTGTCTGATAATAATAATAATAATAATAATTGCATTTATATAGCGTATATCCATGCTCAAGAGGATGCTCTATGCGCTTTACAACGATTATTACCTCAGCAGACCCTCTGAGAACACTCGGAAACATTCTTGGCTTCCGCAGAAGCATACAGTGCAAGCTGTGGATTTCACGTGCTCAAACACTATCAAACTGACAAAATTGTTCACTGTCTATAGCCGGGTACCCATTTCCACCTGGGTGAAGTGAGGAAAATTTGTGCAAAGTGGCTTTCCCAAGGACACAACGTCGGGCCCCTGACGGGATTCGAACCCACGACCTTATGGTTGCGAGTCCGAGAGCCTAACCACTAGGCCACCGACACTACATAATGACATGCGTCACTTTTACTTGTCCAATTATCACCAGTGCTTGCCTTTAATAGGACCACTGCTTGACCTATTAGAAACAGAAATGTTTGAACATCTTCCTTTGCTTCCACCCTTAACCCCATCCATCGGTGTAACAAGCTCAGTCAACCAATGCCACCCCTCACTGCCATCATGTAACAACGATTGGAGGAACTCTTTTTTCGGCTGGAGTACGATCAGGACGGCAGGCATTGGTCAAAGTAATTTCATACCTCTGGCTTCCGGCTACCCCAGGACAGTTTCTGTAGTGGCTCGCTACTTGAGCCCTCTCTCGGGTAGTCATGAGATTTCACACCCACACTACCCTGACCATCTGCTTCGCTCAGGGCTCACATGATGGGGGTAACATCTTCCCCCAAATTGCACTCCTACTCCCTGTCCTCACCTAGAGGCATGGCTATGGCGTTAAGTTTAGAGTAACAGCCGGCAGAACAAAACTTGCGAGTTTTGTTCCAAATCAGGGCTGAGCGGGCAAAGCATTTTCCGTCTTAGACAGGTGAAACCCTCGGAAGGGAGCAGATTTTTCCTTCTGTTTCCGCTTTGGACAGGTTTCCGTTTTATACTGGTAATTAAAGAGGAATATATCAAGGGGGGAGCGGGGAGATCCCGCGAAGACAGGTTTCCGTTTTATACTGGTAATTAAAGAGGAATATATCAAGGGGGGAGCGGGGAGATCCCGCGAAGACAGGTTTCCGTTTTATACTGGTAATTAAAGAGGAATATATCAAGGGGGGAGCGGGGAGATCCCGCGAAGACAGGTTTCCGTTTTATACAGGTTTTCATTAAGGCAGTTGAGTCTGGTTAAGTTCTATATCTCTGGTCATTTGTTTACAAGTCACCAAAATCTCGTAAATGGATGCTTGAAACAGATTTTATACCTACCCAAAATGGTTTGACTTTTGTCATTATTGAACAACTGTTTCAGAAAGTGAATTAAAAAAAAAAACAGTAGAAAGGGAAGGAACTCTGACAAGATGGCGAATGAGTAAATGACATCTGTGGTGTTACAGTTGCTATATATATTCGCCTAACCATCCATACCAATAACTAAAAAACCTAGAAAAAAATTATAAAGGTATTTTTGTAATGACACTGATGAATTATGATAGAAAAGCTTTACAATGTAGTTGTAAATTATCAAGTTCTTCTGTTTTTCAGGTTTCAGGTCTCTCTCCTCCAAAGCCAGTGAGCAGTTTTGGTCACTTTGGATTTGATGAAGCATTGATGGGATCTGTTCGGAAATCTGAATACTCGAAGCCCACTCCTATTCAAGCTCAGGTATTAATTTTCACGCATGTTTTTTGCTCCTACAGCATAACTTTTAGCTCATTACAAATTTTATGTCTACAGTGTTAGAAACTCTTTGCTTCTTGATCAAGGCAATTCAACATTGAAAATTGTGTCGATTGCTGTATGATGATATGCACTTAATTATAATACATGAAAGGCATTAGTGGATGCCCTTGTTATTAATTTTACCCTTCCAGTACATCTGTTCTTGCTGCCTTTTTGTGTGATTTTTCTTGATTTTTATGGAAGAGACTTAGAGACTTGATATATACTAATTAATTTGCTCTCATTAATTTCTTTTTATATTGCTGCAGCTTGTGCAACATTTTAACCTTTTATCCCCCCCTTTCTTTTCTTTGTGTTTTAGGGTGTTCCTATTGCTTTGAGTGGAAGAGACATGATTGGAATTGCCAAAACTGGTAGTGGAAAAACTGCTGCATTTTTGTGGCCTTTGCTGATTCATATCATGGACCAGGTGAGGGACTTCTTGCACATTTTTAGATGACATTATTATTACAGTAGTCTCTGCCTAAGGTCACTCTGCTTGAGAACAAGGAAAATACAGAATCTAAGGAGAAGCGGATCTTGGCTGAATTATCCGGAGGAAGAATCCACAGGGATTTATCGTCGGGCCCACAATTGGTAACATGATCTCCCCTTACTTTGAAGTTAACCTAAGCATCCCCTTATAGCGAACCAGGATCATAAGCAGTGGGATCTAAGGCATAGACTACAGTACACCTCCTGGGACGGTGCTACTGACTGAAGTGTCTTTAGGCCATTCCCAAAGGGGGGGGACATTAACATCTTGAATTCTTATGCACAGTAGAATTGTACATGTAAATTGGCTGGTTCATCAATGTCCCACTCAAAACTGTGCCTGAACTGCAACAGGGAACTGCTGCTTTTTCTTTCCTAATCCTTACTATCGTCATTTTTCCTCTACATTTTTTGTGTGTTTGTCACACTCTTGTGACCCGCTATTTCCAGGGTGCGTTGATAGTCGAAGCAGACTTTGTGCTGTTGAAGCTAGAGAGGTGAGCAGAGTAAGTCTGATTTCCTGTAAGGACTTCTCTGTTGACATCCACCTCTTGGCGCTCATATAACCATATGCAGTTGTGAGAGCTGTAGAATACTCTATTATTTTTTAAGGGACATGGGCCAGTGCTTTAGGGAAGCAGTTAAGTGAACTGTAGGCACTTTTGATATTACTAAGGAATGTCCATTATATCATTTGTAATACGACGTTTTGGAATCAGGCACTCGTCAATTTTTGGGTATATGGAGTTATTGGTAAATCCAAAAACTTGTTCATTTGTCTTGCATTTGGTTTAAAAAATATCAATCTATATTGAATAGAAGTCAAAATATTTGCAATGGAAGGAGGTCAGGGTTGCCTGGTTTTACAGGTTTGTAACTTTCATAGCCTGAGAGTCCTAACTTTGGAAACTGAAAATGTACATATTCTTTGCCTTTAATCTATGTTTTTCTGTAAAATCCATACAAAAATGTGTTTTTTAATAAACATAAAAGGTGATTAGCCAAAAAAAGAAAATTAGAAAAAAATTGCCCATCGGCCCCCCCAGAAATGCTGATTTCTTTGATTTCATCATTTTGACGTACACCTGATTTCACTACGATACCTCACATTTCATAATGTTGCAGCCATTCAACATTGTGGTATGTCAAAATTTTGAAAAAATAAAATCATGTATGTTGTAGTTTCACAAGGCGCACTGATTAGGAGCATTCCTCTTTTATGATAGTCATGAATTAAGAGGAATTAGCCAAGTAATAAAGGTTTTTTGCTTACCCTGAAAACCTTGTATTTTGACATATTACAATGTTCAATGAATGGTGGCGATGATGTGGTCGATTTTAAGCACAAGGGGGCTATCCCGAAAAGTGCTGTTTTGAGAAAAGTGAAGGTAAAGTTTTTGGGCTCTTTAAGTTCAGTCTCTTTAAAAGACAAGTAGAGTTTTCTCTATAACCAAACAAATATACAACCAATGAAACCAAAGTTCTTCTATAGGTAGGGCAATGCCTACTTTTGGTGTAGGTCAAGATTTCTGGAAATCCCCCGAAATTTGGATTAGCCCGCTTGTCCTTAGAAGCTATGTCCCTTGTGTGGACATGTGTTTTTCCCAGCCCCATGTCCTCCCAGGTTTATTCTCTGAAAACATCAACTGTGGACATTTAAGGATATATTGCCACTTTTGAAAGAGTTATCATCACATTTCCATAATGTACACGTTCCGCAAAATGTCCTCAATCAAAATTGTGCATATCTCATTGTGCAAGTTTAGTCAGATGTGAAGGATTTTCTTGTGCTGCCATACTTATGGTCTTAAACAGATATTATGTTTGGAACAGTTTTGAATATCACAATAAAGGTTTTGTATTTCAGTACATTTCAACAGTCTGAGTGTATTGATCTTAATATATGTACTTGTATATTTATTTTTTAAACAGCGCGAGTTGCAAAAGGGAGAAGGACCAATTGGACTAATCTTGGCTCCTACAAGGGAGTTGTCTCAGCAGGTAAAGCTGGAAATGTGGAGTTTTTCTTTTACTCCCACAAATATTGTGGTATTAGAGCTTTGGCCATTCCCCAAGGGAGGACATTTCTTGTTCTAATGCACAGTAGCATTGTAAATGGGCTGATCCAACAATGTCATGCTCATAACTGCCTGAATTACAACAGGGAACTGCTGCTTTTTCTTTCCTAATCCTATTGTCATTTTCCTCTACTTCTTTTGTATGTTTGTCACACTCTTGTGACCAGCTATTTCTGGGGTGTCTTGAAAGTCGAAACAGGCTTTGTGCTGTTGAAGCTAGAGAGGTGAGCAGAGTAAGTCTGATTCCCTGTAAGGACTTCTCTGTTGACATCCACCTCTTGGCACTCATATAACCATATGCAGTTGCGAGCGCCATAAAACCTCTACTAAAACAAAACTAACAAAGAGCTGTTATTAAGGGGGGCACTCCGAAAGTCCCGATTGGGCTCAAAACTATAGATTTTAAGTTGTATAAATTTTTAGCTTTTTTAACCTCTCTTACAACTATTTCATCGCATAAGAACCCCCTAAAGCCTTATTTTTTCCCATACCGGGCATGTTTGTCACCACCATTTCCTCATAGAGTCTTTTATTTTTCTTTATCGCCCGCTTTCTCGAAACATGGTTTTTCTATATACTTTAAAAAAATAATCCACCTTTTTTCATCCAATCTGCATAAAATTTTCACAAAATGAATTAAAGATGTACTACAAATATTTTTGTGATGAATTTTTGATATATGGAATTTTTTTGGGGAGTGTGGATTTTCAGGGTATTTTGCAAACGTGAATACTACCCCAAGGAAAAAAATCATAAAAATTTTTCTAGTACGTTTAGGAAAAATTCATCACACAGAATTGTAGATCTATTGTTTGCCAAGGTGCAGGCAAAAAAAAAATTTTTTTCCATGAAAAACAAGTGCGGTATTAATTACGTAAGACATGTCAACAACATTCAATATGTCCGCCGTATCCTTGGTGACAAATTTTGTCTCAAATTTGATTGTGTGGATTTTAAGACTCCCTACTATGCTCGTTATATGTGTGAAATTTGGTAACATTTGATCCACTAATGAGCGAGATAGCCTTCAGCTGCCCCCCCTCCTCTTAATGAGGAAACTTGATCTTGTGGTGAGAAAGACCGTGGGACTGATTGGGACTCAATAAAGGGTGGAGAAAGATGTTTCAAAATATTATGTTATGTATACTCTCAACTTTTTTCACTTTCCAACTAAACTGTCTGTTTCAAGTAAAAGATTTTATTGTTGGAGACATCTTTATTAATTAGTTTTAAAAAATCTTAATATTCACCAAGAGTAGCCTACATCAGATTTAAAAAAAAAAGATTTGCCCAGCATATTGAACATGAGAGTAATATCGTGTTGGTTTAAGTGTGCTTTCAGTGAATGATAATAATACTTTTCAGATCTACCATGAAGCCAAGCGTTTTGGTAAAGTGTACAACATCAATGTTGTCTGTGCCTATGGTGGTGGCAGCATGTGGGAGCAGTCGAAAGCCTGCCAGGAAGGAGCTGAAATTGTTGTGGCCACCCCTGTAAGTTTATAAAATGTTGATGAAAGTACAGTCAAACTTGTTCTAATGAACACCTGATCAAGACAATAACCTGTACAAATGACCACTTCCCACTTACCCCTTTGCCTATGTTTCTGTTTTATAATGATACTGTTCAAAAAGACCAAATGTCTCTAATGAACGCTTCACTCCTTGACACTGGGTAGTCATCTTAGACCGGCCCCTTTGGGTGCACCCAAAATAGTGGGTGAAGTACCTCTTATGTTCAGCAATTTCATGCTCTTAAAACATGTTTTGGGTTTAAATATGTGTGTGTGCCTTAAGAAAGGTACAAAAAGTCCCACAGAGAATTTTGAGCTACAGGCTGATAATGACAAAAAATCACTTTTTTGACCAAAAAGTGTTTCCATAAAAAAATGATAGTTCCACCTATTTTTTAACAATGTGTTAAAAGGTTGTTTTTTTCATTGATTTGACTTCTAAATATTTTATATTGAATAATTTTGAGACTAGGGTATTTTTTTAAAGATATAACGAAAACTGCTTTTAGAAGGTGTTAAAATCTATTCTTGAAGCATGTTTTCTCTTCCCTACTATGTTTTACCATTGAATTCTAATCATGATATTGATGTCAACTGAATGCCTAATTGGAAATGAATTCTCCTTGAAAAAAATACATAAAAAACAATTGAATCTTTTTTTTTCCAAGTTTTTAAGTGTCCTAAACTTAAAAGCTAAATTTTCTCAAAATTAGATCTTTATACCCTACCTCACAAAATGTGCGATATCCCCAAAACTACCTGAGATATTTCAAAAATTTAGAAACCACTGTATTCAACATTGAATTTTCTATAAGGTGCAACCGTTAACTCAAAATGGTCAAAATCCAACTTTTTGGACCTTTCTTTAGGCACACACACATGAGAGGATGTACTAAATGCTTCAGAGTTCAGACTTATGGTAAATGAAATTATAGTTGAACTTGTCTAAATCTAGTAGTTAGGCTACATGACTCTTAATCATGAGGTTCATGGGGGTTGAGCCTTAGCCCGGCCCTAGTATAATTTGTTCTAGGGAAAGGCACTTTACGTGAATTTATCTCATTTCACCCAGGTGTGAATGGGTACCCAGTCGTAGACAGGGAAAGATTTTGTCTGTATGTTTTTGCTTTAGCACATGTAAAATGGCAGCTTCCCCTGCATGATTCTCAGGAAATAGAGACTGTTTCAAAATGCTATTAGATCTGCTGGGGTGATAATTTATATTGTAAGTGACATAGAGCTTTCTGTTGAGTGGGAATTTGTGCAGTACAAATACGAGGTGATTCAAAATGAATTACCCGCTTTTATGATACTGTACATTGCTTCAGTTCTCATGCATCGTTATGGAATGAGTTAGTGACCATTTGAAAGAGCTGTTAGTTATCTAACTTTTGAATAAAAAAGAATGAACCAATGTTATTGTTTACTGCTTCAGTTCTCAAGCGTGAGTCTGTGATCATATGAGAGAGGAGGGATGGATTGTTTGGGAAGTGGCTCAAGACGGAGCTGTCTGTGCTTAGCCTGTCAGATTCTCAGACCTCATGGTGTATAACTTGTTTCTTCTGGGAATATTTAAAAGATTGCGGTTATGTTCCATCGTTACCCATTGACTTCAATTACCTTAAACATTGAATAAGAACAACGATCGACTCAGTGTGCCTTGATATGCTGAAACGCGTCTGGGATGAATTTTTTTTTCACGGTGCTGTTGCCCGTGCCGTGCCGGTGGTGGTAGCCACATTGAACACTTGTAAGACAGGAAATAAAAGTTGATTGTGAGTACAATGCTTGTGGCTTAGCTTGAGTTTTCTGTCGCTTTTCCTAATTTAAATATTGCAAAATGAAAGTGGTTCGTTCTTTTTCAATGAAACTTTTCTTTAATGAATGCACTGAAAAAGATTATCTGTGTTAACTTTGTTTGATTTGGAAGGATTTAAGGTTTTCCCAGAATGTAATAGGATAATGAAGCAGTAATTGTACACAGCAGGTCCCCACAATGTCAGTTGTCACCTGTTTTACCCATGTTATAATGACTTGAGATCTTTTATGTTTTGGTTCGGTTTTTGCTTTCAGGGACGACTCATCGATTTGGTAAAGAAAAAAGTGATTGATCTGCAGCGGGTGACCTATCTGGTATATGATGAGGCTGACCGAATGTTTGACATGGGTTTTGGTATGTGCTCTGGACGTTAAAATATAAAAAAAAACCTGTCCCTTGTAAATGTCTTTGTTGCAAGAAAAACTGTTGTCTACCATTTGTGGTATCGATAGCTTAGTAGTTAGATTACTTGACCTGCTTTTGTAAAATTGTGGTTTCAGGGGTTTGAGCCTTAGGCATTGCACATGTATTTTTCCTTTTATAGTTTTGGTACTCAAGTATAATACAATAGATGTAATTTTGAACATTCTGTATTAAAAGATTTTTCAATTTGTAGGAGAAAAAGAAAGTGATATGAATGATTTCTTTTCCCTCAGAACCCCAAGTCCGTTCCATAGCCAACCATGTGAGACCTGACAGACAGAGTGAGTGTTATTATCATTACTGGGGTGTTTTGCACTTTTGAGCTCTGTTCAATTTGTCTGTTGGTGAACATTGAATATTAAGAATGTTAAGTTGGTGAACATTGAATGTTAATCGTCTTGAAAGGATCATTGATAGGTTTTTGAGGTGTTTGGTGTGATATCCCCTTCTACTTATTTTTAAATTTTTTTTAATTTATTTTTTTTGGTGAGTCATGTACCTATTCCTGTGCAAATTACACCATCTGATTAGAAAAATGAAGTGTGCTTGATTTGTTCCGGGCTTACGTTTGTTTTTGTATTTGTCTCCTTTTAAAGATCAATAGGTTATTCAACGGTAGAGTAAAGAATTATCTGTCCTGTTTTCAAGTTATGACAATTTGATAATATAAGTGTCAGTCGTATCTGTTTAACTATGTTTCTGCACAATAGGTTTTGACCCAGCCGGTCAGTATAGTGGGATGGTATTTTACATATTGAGATGGCTCAGGTCTAAGTTCAGTGGTTTGAAAGGTTTGGTGTAGTATTGTTTGGTGTGGTTGTCCCTGATCAGTGTCATTAACTCTGTCTATTGTTCTTTTTTCCCAGCTCTTCTCTTCAGTGCTACCTTCCGTAAGAGAGTGGAGAAGCTTGCGAGGGACATTCTGGCAGACCCCGTGCGTGTGGTGCAGGGAGAAGTTGGAGAGGTATGCCATTGTCACACTCTTGGAAAAAAAATTGGATGGGGGGGGGGGGGAATGCTGTAACCTAGTGCGGGTTATTGGTGGGTGTGTTTTTTTGGTATTGTCTGCTATTTTTTTTCCACTTTTCTTCAATGTTACAAATGCTGTAATTTGTTCCCTAGAAAATATGGCTGTTTTCATTCTGACTTGCTGTATACGCTAACTCAAAATTAGATCACAAATATTTTTTGTAGTTTTTTTTGTTGATCTTGCGTTAGGTAGTTTTTTGTTAAGTAAATTTTGAAGCCTCCATAGTCTCCCTCAATGTGTTTTCTTCAGTTCATGTGTGTCTGTGAGAATCCTTACTCCTGTGGTTGGTTCTGCTCATGTAAAGCTTATTTATCTTAATGTCTTCTTATCTGTGCTGGGATGCTGTATCCTGCTCAATCAGTTTGGGTTTTGTCTGGAATGGCAGGGTCAAAGCTGTCTGAGTGGGTGGTTGGCGGGTGCTCTGGTTTGGTTTGCTTCTTTTTCCTATCAAACATCTGTCGTCCTTATCTCACATCCTTCTTCTTTATGTTTGTTACTCTCTTGTAACACCTCTAATCCTCTGGCGCTCTTATGACCTTATGCAGTTGCGAGCGCCGTAAAACCTTTACTAAAACTAAAACTAAAAGCTGTCTGTGTTCTAAATGGTCTTAAATAGTACAGTTTGAGGATTTTGAAAGTTTGGATAGATTGCCATCAGTTATGTCATCATGTACAGAGAGAACTGCTGTCTTCCTCCAGGCTAATGAAGATGTGACACAAGTTGTGGAGGTTCTCCCCCTTGGACCAGCCAAGTGGACCTGGCTCATGCAACGGCTCGTCGGCTTCACTTCTGGTCAGTTGCTGTTCTTCCAACTGTTGATTGGACCTCTTCGCAAATTACAGTACATTCTGTTGAATTGAGGTTAATATTACTCGGGGGGGGGGGGGGGGGGGGGGACTGGACGGGGATGGGACCAAAAACTAAATCAAATCCAGGTGGTCTTAAAATTTACCTGAAATGGACAATTTACTTATGATGAAAGTTTTAAAGTATAGGAAAAAAAATATCGGAGTGGCTAGCGCTTTGCTACACTAACGAATTCGGTCGATTAGCCTGACTCTACTGGCCCGTGGTGATCTCTGTGCATGTTCCGGGCGAACGAATTCGGTCTCTCTCTCTCTCTCTCTCTCTCTCTCTCTCTCTCTCTCTCTCTCTCTCTCTCTCTCTCTCTAACTCTCTCACTCTCTTTCTCTCTTTATCTCTCCCTCTCTCTTTCTCTCTGTCTCTCTCTTTCTGTCTCTCTCTTTCTCTCTCTCTCTCTCTCTCTCTCTCTCTCTCTCTCTCTCTCTCTCTCTCTCTCTTACTCGTATCACGGGCCGTCACACGCTAAGGCAAAGTGTGGCTTGAGATATTGACTTAACTCTATGTACCTTGATTTAATCGCCCTGTTGTGCAATAAAAAGAAAACGATAACTGAAAATTTTTTGGGATGTTGAAAAATTAATGATAAATGAAAATATTGTAGCGAAATGTCAGAAGTCAAGTAAAAGATTAGCGCATGACTGTAGCAGAATGGGAAATATGTGTGTGTGCTTTGTGAAAGGTACCAATGTTGCATTTTGAAGAATCCCGTTTTTTGCATTTTCATGTACAGAAATCATGTCTGAACAATCTGCTTTTTGAATATTTTTTTTAGATATGGATGATTTTGTAACGCAGGGTACGGAAACAAAGTTTTGAGAAAAATGGCTTTAAAGTTTCCCCTTTGTTTCTGCTTCAAATAGATAGATCTGCGCTTTGAGACGACCTGACAACACATTTGCTACTCTCAAATCGTCTTTAAAAAGCAGCTAAGATGAAAGAACAGTTTCAAAGAGTTTATATTACATCTTCAAAAGAAATTCATCACCACCTTGAGCAAGAATTTTCAAGAAATTGGATCAAGATTTGCGCTGGGCAGAAAAAGGCGGTACAAGTTTGCTCTCCAAAAAAAACGAAAGGGTGTGAATGCCCAAAGTTTTACTTTGTTTACATATTCTAGATATTCGTGCACACTACCTGCCTCTAGAGAGTAGAGAGAATGACCTAAATTTTGGTATGCAATGTGATTTGGTCTTCTTTATGAATGGACAAGAGAAACCATCCTCAGTGTTTACTCGGAAAACCAATTTTCTCATGCATTTTAGGGGATTATGCGATATGTCTCGTGTTAAAGAACGTCTTTAAAAATGTATTTTAATGTAAAAGAAACTCAAGTCCTTGTAAAAATTGATATATTAATGGCTAAAGAATCCATTTTTAATGGAACTTAGTTTTTGTCAAAAATTCTTTTTTTAATCCTTGAAGCCTGATATCTCTGAACAAATGCGTGCGTCTTTTGGTACCTTTCACCAGGCATGCTCACATATATTCGTTGAGTGGATGATAGTTCTGAAAACTGTAGAGAAGAGAACTGAAATCATTTGCTTAGGTGTCTTAGAAATATGTTCCTGTTCAAAGAAGTTAAATGTAAGAATTTGTAAAATTACATTTGCATTTTGATTGGGAGGACTTCTTTTTCAGAGGGTTTTTTTAATATTGACTTTCCTTCATAAGTTTTCGGGACAGGCTATTATATTTCCTTTGGAAATACTATTTCTTTTCATCACCATTTATAACATTTTACATGTATCCGCAGAGGGCAGTGTTCTCATATTTGTCACAAGAAAGTCAAACTCTGAGGAACTTGCTACCAATTTGAAGGCCAGAGATTTTGAATGTGAGTTATTGGAAACTTGTCTCTTTTTCGTCTTTTAGTCTGAGCTTACTTTTGGATTATCTATTCTCAGGTGCCGATTTGTTTGAGTTGCAAGTAATGGTTTATTGTCATTACAAGCTTCATGGGTTATTATTTTATAATGAAAAAATTATTATTTTTTTAACTTTCTCTTTGTCTGTCTTTAGTATTGTCTAACAATGCCAATTGGGCTTCCACGTCTAACAATGCCAATTGGGCTTCCACACGTGGCGAAATTTTGGTCCTCATTTGCGGGTGAATTTTTGGACCGGGTCAGAACGTAAGTGCCTAACTTTCTCGAGCTCCTTCTGTGCTATTTCTGGACTGATGTGAATGAAACTTGGCAACCAATCAGAAAATAGGGCACACTAATGATATGTTGACGTTGAAGTTCGTACACATATATTGACCTATGCTTTTGGTGTCGGAAACACTATAAGGAGCTTGATATTCGACGTCGAGAATGTAAGAGATCTATCTTTCCTCTATAGTGTGCTCGAATTTGAAAGTTCTATGTGCAGTAGTTGTTTAGAATTTATCATAATGTACCACTACCCCCCTGTCCAAAAGCGGCTTCGCACGAAGACGGGCCGTTTTCCCCTCACTCCCTTGGCAAATGTATGTGACCTACAAATCCCCGCATGACTATTCTGAGCCCATTCATTGGTCATTTGAAATAGGGCAATGGCGGGCGCGCGCATTCGGTTGTTTTTTTCTCTGTTCCCCTGTAACATCATAATGGGGATATACCGAGGCGAGCTTATCAACGGGAAAAAAGAGTTTTCAATTGAAGGACATGCTAGTTTGAATTAAATTATATTTTATGGTTGGCATGGTCAAAAGTCACCAAAGACACCTTTGCCATTATTTAGTCACGCTGCCAACATATTCTTAAAGATCCCATGTTGTGATACGATGCTGTAAATAAAATGCTCTCATCCTGACACCCCTTTTTCATGAAATCGTAATATGTACACCAAAATTTTAATTATAACAGAATAACTACGAAATAGTTAGTAAATCTGACCAAGAAATAATATCTCCACCCAAAAACACATTGGGTAGCCAAGTTTCTTTCTAACTCTCCAATTAATTACTGAGATATTGCTTTTGGGAGCATTTTCCTATATTTGGATCATCCATATTTTGCCGACGTTTACAACCCGAAACTGTTTTATTTATGAACCGATTCTTAAAATTCAAAAAGCATAATTCTTAGAATTGAAAATTCTTTCTTAGGTACCAAATAGAAAAGGGCTAAAGCAAAAAATTAAATTTTCCTTGGCATTGCTGTATTGTTGATCATGAAGTAAGATCTGGGGCAGAGATTTCACCCCTGTTACGAAGTATTCCACTGTTCATATGGATAAGGCTACACCATCCTGAATGCAACATATTTCTACCTCGATGCATCTGTCATTTTCCAAACGTTTGGAGAGCTTATTTTCTGTTGATGTTCTTCTATGAAACTGTCTAAATCAAATCCTTTTTTGCCTTCTCAGTGGGACTGTTGCATGGTGACATGAGTCAGGCAGAGAGAAACGATATCATCAGCGCATTCAAGAGGAAAGACTTTGGTGTGTTAGTGGCTACAGATGTCGCTGGTGGGTTGATCTTGCTGATTTTAAACAAACTTTTTCCTCAGGCCATTTGACCCTATGTCATGTTGGGATATAGGGTATGGTGGGGAGAAATTGTGAGGAAAGAGTTACTTCCTAAACATGATTTTTTAAAGAAGAAAACGGAATGTACTAGAGATTCACTTTGTGAGAACGACCTGTTGCAGTTTGCTGAAATGAGGACGGGAAAACTAATTTGTGTGAAATTGTTCAGGGGGATGGGGAATTTTTAAATATTCAGTGTTCTTTAAACTGGCTAGTATGTTTTATGAAAAAAGAATGAATTGTGGTTGCCTACATTTTGTTTTTCACTTGAAAAAAAAAAAGCTTTATGATTAATAGAAGAACAGGACATTTTTGGGTAGCTTAAAGGATCATATTAGTGTGCCTCTACTTACTGCTGAGTAATGAAAGTGCAAATGGTTAAAGCACATTTTCTTGTTGAATTACCTTAGTAACACTTGTTACTAGCAAATAACCCACAGATTTCGAAATGTCGTGGACAGAAATTTGTTTTGGAAAGGTTTATGTGGCTTAATTTCTTGTTTTGTCATCTTTATTTTCTGATTTTGATCTTTCTTGGCTTTTCTGGTATCCTTACTTTCTCTCAGCCCGTGGTCTGGATATTCCACACATAAAAACTGTTGTGAATTATGATGTGGCAAGGGACATCGACACTCACACACACAGAGTTGGAAGAACTGGCCGCGCAGGTAATTAAAACTTATGTAGTGTTTTAGAGTGCTACTGTTGGCTTTTAACAGTCTACCCCTGTAAAATACATTCCGTGTTTTAATTTTTTTTTTAAAGAAGTTTTAATAAGTGACGTTTCTTTTCAGTACACACTGTGGTATTTGTTAGTGTCCGTATAGTGTCACTTGAATAAGGAACACTTTGTGAGCTTTAAAAGTAGGCAAAGATTACTTAGTACCTCGCGTGCAGTTTATGACTGACATTAGGCAGTGAAAACCCCATGCACAGGTGCTAGAAAAATGCTGACAAGAAAAAAGAAAGAGAAAACTGCTAAATCTAGCGTGTTTTACCATGCCATTGTCAACTTTTGTTTCAAATTTGTAAATAAAAGTTTGTCCTAGTTCTACAGCATTAATTCATATTTGAGATCCACTAATTGGATTAAAATGACTTTATAACATCTTATGAGGGATGAAAATGGACAAGCGAATAGCAAAAAATTGATACTGTCGGGCAAGAGTGTAATTTGCATTGTAAAATGGCTTAAAATATGCGTGAAAATTTTATCTATAAATGCTTGTTTCTTTTTTAAAATTTCATTAAGATATTTTGGTCAGATTTTTGCATCATTCTTTATTTGTAAAGCAAAATCTAAAAAAAAACCCAACCCTTGTCCTTTTAATTTACCACACTTTTGAATTTTTGGTTTGGACTAATTAACTAATAGTAATATACTCCTACTTTTTACTGTAATTTGACATTAGATTTTTAAAAATTGACAATCAAGTTAACCGTAATATTATTCACAGGCACGAAGGGGCATGCCTACACACTGATCACAGAGAAAGACAAGGAGTTTGCTCCTCACCTAGTGCGGAATCTGGAGGGAGCTAACCAACATGTGCCTCCGTCTCTGCTGGATCTGGCCCAAAAAGTGAGTCAGTTTGGTTTGTCTCTGCAAAATTTTTTCAATGCTGAAATGATTATCCTCACTAAATGAGAAACATTTTGGTAATTCCAGATATATATTATTATGGTGTACACGCACCTGACAGACTAGAATATTGGCATTATGTTGCAGCTGAGTTTGTTATTCCTTCTTGTCTTGTAAGTAAGGTGCCCAAGTCACAAGAAGAGACTTTAAGACCAGACAATATTGTTTGTCTACTCTCGTAACCTGTCAAGTTGTCCTGGTTTTGAGAAGAATAGGGCTAATGTGGGGCAAGCATGTCATAAGAGGTGACTGAATGACCAAAATGGAGACAACCGACCCTCTGGGTTGGGGGCTTGGACGGAGGGCTAGCAACCCTACCCCTTGAAACAAATCTGTCACTACAGAAGCGTCAAGTAAAAGAAACAACCAGTCACTAATCTTGGAAGAAGGCAGTGCCCCTAGTGGAGATAATATATACAAAAACTTAGATGGAACCCACAGGTGTAAAGAAGGAGAGGAAAGCTGAATCCTCTTGAGAGCGAGATCAGGAGGCAGATCTCAGGCATATGACAGAAGGTGGAGAAGATTGCCCTGAGCAGAGACAGGTGGAGAGCTCTTCTTTGTGGCCTTGTACCCAATACCAAGGTGAAAGAGGCACGCACTCCTGTCTTTCTCTCATCTTGTGGATGTTCCACTACAAAACTTTGACCATAGCCTGATTGTCTTTGTCTGGGGAAGTTTGTGTACCATGTGTCGGCAATACTATTGAAAGACTTGCAAATGGGGAACTGGAGTGTGTCAGTAGATACTCAATTCGTGAGTAATTTTTGTACTCTGTCACTTATTTATAAATATAGCATTTCATCAGTTATGTGCTCTGTTTCTTCTCTTGTTGCAGTGTCCTTGGTTCAAGAAGAACAGATATAAGAGTGGCAAAGGCAAGTCCATTGCTGGACGGGGTCTGGGTTTCAAGGAGAGACCTGGTTTGGGTGCTGAAACGGTAAGGTTTTGCTTGTGAGAAATACAGTAAAAACATATAGTCCAATACTTTTTTCTGATGACAAAGTTGTTGTTTTTTGTTGCGATGTGTCATAAGGTATTTTATTTGATGATTTACTAATTACTGTTTTTAGGGGTCTGTTTACGGAGGGTCAGTTTGTTTTTAATGCCATCAACACCAATTGTGTGGTTGAGACTGTTTTAGGCAAAAAGTACCTGCTTTGTGGGTTCTTTACTACCTTTATAGAGATACACTGTACAGCAAAGACTAAATTGAAAACATTAGAGATGAGTCAGTTTTCCTGCTAGCTATGTGTACCCTCTGTTCAAATTGTCTGTGTGAGAGCGAATGGTTGGAGGGTGTCATGGTAGGTCCTTCTTCTTTTCTTTCCCTTTGTGGTTTCTGTCTGTCTGTATTGAATTTTCCCTGTGCTAAATGACTGTTATCATGTTGATTTGCTTCTCTTTACTCAAACTAAACTATTGTGAGAGTAGCCTGCTTTCTCTGCTACAGAAACAGGCTTGCACAGCCCCCGCCCCCTCAAAACATCAGCATCCTATGCTAGAATACTAAACAAATAAATAATGCCACTGTGATGTCATTGACGGTAATGGGTATGATGGTTCTACAAGGATTCTCATTTTTTTTACCAGCCTTATTTGGTCCAGAGATTTGCAAGTTTTGTCTTTTCAGTTCCCTTTGCCTGTTGTTTACATACAGTTCCCTGGCAGTGGTTCTGTGGTGTGATCATCTCTATTTTTTCCCACGTTCGTAGTACTACGAGCTTCCTTATAATTTGTTTTACTGGCATTTGTGGTGTAACAGTTAGGTGTTTCGCCATCACATGCAGAAGACCCGAGTTCAGGAATTCAGTTCCCTTGAGGGGGAGAATTGTTATAGAGTATATCAGTCTTTCTGCTGAAAGAGTTGGCCCATGACAGGCAGGGTTGAAGTTCTACTCCTATATGATTTCAGTTGTGTTGATGGTGTAATAAAACACCTTACTTTTGAAAAAGAAAGTTTCTATTTATTCTTTGTTTCTACAGAGCACTCGTGTACAAGACAGTATGAGCCTGAGCAGTTTCAAAGCAGCCCCGAAATCATCAGCTTTCCAGTCAGACAGACTTTCAGCAATGAAAACTGCTTTTCATGTAAGTTGTTTTTGGGATGCTGATTCTTGTGGGATTTTTTTTTTGATCAGGTCAGTATGGTATGGGATTTACTGCAGCCATTATGATTTGTAAGATTCTGGACCGTGGTGTTATAAATTGGTTTGAAACCCCTGTTCTGAGCCTTAGTTGTCATGTGAGTTTACACAGCTCTGAGCCCTTCTCAGCTGCAAACTTCTCAGCACAGTTGTTGACATCACTTTTTATCTGGAAATGGGTCCAAGTTTTGCGCAGAAGCATTGAGTTTCCTCTCATGGTAGCATCCTCGGCTCAATGCTTGTTCTTCTGAGGCTTTCATAGTTTTGACATTGTACCAGAATCACTCTGATGAAACTGGTGGTATTGTAATTAATTATTTTTCACATTTGGACACAATTTTCATCTTTGGTTGAAACACTGCTGACTGTTGTTAATTGTCAGTCTCCATGTCTCAGTATGATGCTATCTGGCTTTAGCAGCAATTGTTCCAATGGGAATAGTTTCCAGAGTGGGAGCAATATGTTAAAAGAGACATACTGATGGCCTTAGGCACAGGCCATCAAACCCTGGTTTTTCATGTGATGCCTTCATGATTTAATTGGTGATGAAGCATCATTTTACACCATTTCTATTTGTCCCCCAACCCTCAGACCGATAATGTTGAACAGTCATGTGGTCGAGGGATCCCTGATCCGTTGCCAGTTTTGAGAAAATCAAATTTTTTTTTTTTCTTTTCTTGCAAAAGGTATACCTTCTGACTTTATGCCCAAGGCCATCAATATGATCGTCAGCCACAACACAATGCCTAAGACAAACTTTGTGATTTTGAGAAAACTTAAACACATTGTTTACCTGTGTCAATTTTATGACTTGAGCAGAAGTGAATATTTAGTAAACGAAAGAAAAACCCAACTATCTTGAATACAAAACAAGTAATAGGCATTTTGGCAGTATCTGTACCTAGAGACATGGAAAGATGACTAAAACAATAATGTAATGATCATGATGATATAACGATGTTCTTGTAGTCTCTGATGTTTCTCCCTCTTGCCCCCTCCCTCCTCAGACCCAGTTCCGGTCCAGCTTTGTGTCAGCCGTGGAGCAGGACAAGTCTGCCAGTGAGGAGAACTACGCGGCGGCGGGCGGCACCTCCCAGCTCAACGCCTCCCTCCAACCCCAGATGGTCCAGCCCTCAGGGGTGGGCGGGGCCTCACGAGTGGGGCTGGGCAGTGAGGGGCCAGCCAAGAAGAAAAAGCGGAGTCGATGGGACTGAGGATGGATTTTTATTCTGCGAAAGTTGTTCATTTATATTTGGGTTTTTTTATTGCTCATGTTCCCCCCCCCCCCCCC